TTTGGCATATTGGAGATATTTGGTTTCTTCACTGTGGTGCTTTTTCTTGTTATACTATGACTCTAGATTAAGTGGACTATCTGTTTTTGATGGAGCCTTAGGGCTTGAGATGGGTGTGGCCTGAGAGCTCTGTTTGGTGTGCCAAAGGTGACACTCCCAGGTTAGGCGTGGTAAATCTCTCTCTCTCTCTCTCTTTCTTTTTTTTTGATTCAAAAGGGAAGTAATTCCGCACAGCTGAATGAAGTTGGAGGTAGTTAGCAGGCAAATGATCTACCCACAGGAGCCAGAGATCAGAAGCTCTTTCCCAAGGACCACACAGGGAATCTGTTCTGCCCTCAGAGTGGGCTCAAATTCTCCTTCAGTCTCCCACTGGGTTACCAAAGTTACGGAATTGTAGCGTCTCTGGAGAGTGCTCACGTGAATTCCGTGAGTTCTCTCCCCCACCGTCTCTTTTTTCACAGTCTCAGTTCAGTAGCACCACAAATTTACTAGGTCCTAATCTCCTGTTAATTCGCCCCACCCAGAGTCAGGTTTTTCTGCTAGGCCTAGGGCCGGTGCAGACCTGAGGTCACTCTGCTTATGACGTATGTCCAAGATGGCGCCTGCTCTTTGTCTTGCTCGCCCTTGAGAGGTGAGCGGAGAGAGAGAAACCCGTGTCCGTACCAGTCACCTTTTTTTTCTCTCTCTCTCTCTCTCTTCCAGTTAGCCTGGTGAACTTTCCCCCCCCCGGGGGTCGTTCCCTCTAGTCTCCTCTCTCCGCTTGCCTGCCAGTGTCTCGGGCTATTGAGGTTCGGCTCACCTCGCGTTCCAGCACTGGTGTGTTGAGTCTGCCGCTGGTGTCCCGAACTGTGGGCTCCCACGCTCTCCATGCAGGTCCGCTGTGAATCACGCGTTCCGGAAGAGTTTCTTCTGCTGTTTCCTCCCCTACTCTTCCTTGAACCTGCAGTATCTCCACTTTATTAAACTATCTCTCCCCGGAATATCAGTGTGCTCCCTTCCTATTCCGCCATCTTGCCTCCTCTCCGGATGGATCTTACTATGATTGGGCTTTTTAAGAAAGATTTATTTACTTGAAAGGCAGAGTTAGAGAGAGGGAGAGGCAGAGAGAGAGGCCTTCCATCTCTGGTTGACTCCTCAAATGTCCACATTGGCTGGGGTTGGGCCAGGCCAAAGCCAGGAGGTTCTTCTGGGTCTCCCTCCTAAAGACCCGGGGTACAGCGTCCAAAAGACTTGGGCTATCTTCTGCTGCTTTTCCAGGTGCATTAGCAGGAAGCTGGATCAGAAGTGGAGCAGCCAGAACTTGAACTGGCACCCATATGGGATGGTGGTGCTGCAGGCGATGGCATAACCCACTATACCACAATAGTGGTGCCTATGATTGAATTTTAAATTTCACTTTTGATACTGAAAGAATGAACTCAAACTGACATTTATATATCCAATGACTGTCAAGTTTACTAATTAATTCTAATTTTTTTCTAATACTTGTATATTCTTTTAAAACTAAAAGCTTATATCTGAGCCCTGCTTTATTGCTTTGCTCAAGTGTTTGTCAATGTTTCCAATATCATTCAATTAAACATATTTTAATATTACATAATTTAACCTTTAACCTTTTGACTTATTATTGAATTTCCAAACATTTTGATTGCTTTCCTTATATTTATCTTATATATTTTCTGCAGTTTAATTCTATTATCATCAAAGAACATATTCTGTGTAGTTTCAGTCTTTTGAATGTATTTAGTCTTACTCTTGTTTTCTGGCCTGTTATTTGGTCCAATTTGGCAAATTTTCCATTGACACATGCACAGAATATCGTTCTTCAATGCAGTATGTGAAGCCTTGTATATGCACTGGATCAATCATATTGATTGATCATGTCTCCCCTGTCCTGCTCATTTTTTGGTTGGCTGATTCTATCACTCACTGCAATATATGTTAGAATCCCCTTGATTAGTGGACAGCCTAATGGGTCCTTTGAAGACTTCTGCACTTATTTTTTATCTTCAGAACTTAAAGAGGTTATCCACCTGAGGGAGAAAATGTTATCTCAAATTTAGGGTTATGGCCCCCAAGCAGTTTTTAGAATTATCCTCCAGTTAGATTACATTTCTTGTTAGTCAGAAACACTGGCTAGGGCTGAAGAAGGGAGCTCCCGATGTCATTGTGCTACATGTTTCTGGCTTCTGCCTTGATGTGGACCCCAATACTTAGGAAACGATAAGACAAACTCATATCTGGGTTGCATTCATACCACTATCAAATTCTCTCTACTTATAAAATAAAAGTCAGCATGCTTGTCACACACAGCAATGGACTTTGACTCAATTTTGTATTTCTTTAGCTCAAGCTCTAGATATTTCTAAGCTTGATGAAAAATTTGCATTGTTTTCATACTCTGCCTATATCTTGGGATCACACTCTTCTAGATGTTTAAATGACATCACTTTGAATTTTAGATAGTTCTCAAGTCTTTGACTACGTGGTTTCAACTTCTTGCGATTTACAGACAAGATACTGTGTCCAGCTCAAACTCTCTGTAACTTATTTTATAAGAAGAATAGGTCATGGGGAATATTTTCAGTCAAAACTACTAAGTGATTAGTAACAACAAAGAATGGAAGAAAACAATTTGGGTGAATAATGCAGACCTAAAATCATATGCAGACTCCAGCACATCTACAAGCAATTCTATTTTGTAAATTATCTAGTTTAGTCATAATTTCTCCCTCTAGTGATTCCTGTACATGTTTTTTGTGCATCATAAATATTAACCCTAATTTTTGCTTCCTCCTGCGGGTAGACACGATTTTAAGTATTTACAAGTGAATTACCTCTGTAAGTATCTTATCTATTTAGAGGGAAAAGAACTAGATAGAATGTTGAAGTTGGTTGAATAAAAGCAAAGTATCAAGTGTTCAGTTTATCCAATAAAAAGAATAATCCATTGCATTTTTACTCGATATTCCATAGAAATAAGTGCATACCAGTGCTCCTCTTTCTCCTGTTGATATACCTGCAGGGTGTGATATTAAAATCATTTAAAAAAATATCGCAGATGCTCTGAAAAATGCGCATCAGCTGGATTGTCCTTCAGGTACCCAGGGATTTGTTTAAAAGATTCATTTATGTATTTGAAAGGCAGAGATAGAGAGAGAAACGGAGAGAGAGAGAGAGAGAGAGAGAGAGAGAGAGAGAGAGAGATCTTCCATCTGCTTGCTCATTCCTTAAATACCCGCCAAAAATGGTTTAAGGTCAGGCTAAAGCCAGCAGCCTAGGACTCCATCCAGGTCTCCATGTGGATGGCAGGAACTCAAGCACATGGACCATTATCTACTGCCTCCAGAGCTGGATCAGAAGGGCAGAGTAACCAGGACTGAAACCAAGCACTCTGAGTAGGATGTGGCCATCCCTCTGAGCAGTTTAACCTACCATGACATAATGCTCACACTCAGAAATTTATAAATAAGTCAAATAGTTAGGCAAATTACAATTTCTTTATCTGAATTTTGGTAAGTTGTTAAATTATTTCACATGGTCACACTGACCAAATTCATTGCAACTTAGTACTTCTGGACAGGAAGGAATGGATTATATTTCAGACTCCAATTTTTTTTGTTGAAATTTCCTATGGTTATTAAAAAAGTTTACATTGTTATTTTCAAACCTGAAGACTTCATCATATTAATAAATGGAAATACCAATGGAGACAAATGGAACAAATCATCCACTCTTCTTTTCCTGGGAATTGGAATGAATGAAGAAAGGCAGATAGTAAAAGCAGATCTCAATTTTACGAGAGGATATGACAGCATTCCCACATTTCAGTGCTCTCTACTCACACAGTACCTTTCTCTAGAGGGTGTGTGTGAGTCCTGACTTGGAACAAAAAAGCACGGAGGAGCCCATGGCCTTCCACTTCCCCACAAGCAGGCATCTGAGGGACAGTCAATCACATGCCTCCCCATGGAGGCAAGGTCACCCATCTGTATGGATGTGGCCACTGTCCAACAGGCTTTTCAGAACCTTCCTTCAGGGAAAAAAGACAGGCTGAAACCTCTACTTCCTAAAAGTAGATTCAGGGTGAGAAAGAAAGGAGTTATAATTGTCAAGTTATTTTCAGAAATATTTATTTATCTTACTGATTTGAAAGGCACTGAGGCAGAGGCAGATACAGAGAATCTTTCATGTGCTGTTTCACTCTCCAAATGCCTGCAATAGCCAGGACTGGGCCAGGCAAAGCCAAGTGTCCAGAATCCCATCTGGGTCTCTCACATAGGTGGCAAGGATCCAAGCACTTGAGCTATCACCTGCAGGGTGCACAATGGCAGGAATCTAGATTAGAAGCAGAGGGAAGACTTGATCCCAGGCACTGTAATATGGGATCATCTTAAGTACTGTGCTAAGTTATTTTTATCCCAGTTTGTTTCTGGTTCATACCAATAAAAATTGTTAAGTTTTCATTATTATTACTAAGAAAGATTTCAATGATATCATATATAAAGTTTCACAGCATTTATTATACTCATATGGTTTGACCTTTGAAAGTTGCAATATGACATAAGGCATTGTTAATTTTGGCAAATCAGTTTGAATAGAAGTGACTATTTTTGTTTTTAAAAGAGTTGAATAGCATGACTGGCTCCTTGTTGTGTGAAGATGACCTCTAGGGAAATCTGTGACTTTAATGGATTCAAGCTCAGTGGTCTGTATGAGATATTCTCAAGTTACAACTAGATACAGTATTTTTCTTAACCTGTCATTCTCTAAAACTGCAGCCCAGATGTTGGATGCAGATGATAATATTTTGATAGGACAACCATACTTTACTCATGGAACTTTGAATAACTGTTACATGAATTTGCTTTCTCTCAGTTAAAATACTGTCAGGAATCAGAATTGAAAGAACTCTAGGAAACAGTAGCACACTTTCTTTCCTTTTTTTCCCCCTTTGTTGCTAGTGAAACAAGAAAGCTGAAGGTTTTCTACCCCTACAGGTTTGGGATGAAAATCTTGCAAAATCTGCAGAGGCGTGGGCAGCTACTTGCATTTGGGACCACGGACCTTCTTACTTACTGAGATTTTTGGGCCAAAATCTATCTGTACGAACTGGAAGGTATGAAGCAGTTTCACTGATATAGTTCATCCACATGACCTGATTAACTACGTACTCTGAAGGGGAATGACGCCAATTTCAAGTAATACCTGCCAGTGTTTATTGAGCACTCTACTCATGTATGCGCTACTCATTGATACATGTGAATATCTTAGATGTCTTCAAGAATTACTTAATTAGTTACAAGGGCCTAATAAACCAGATTCCCTTTTCACCTTTGGAACACTCCCTTAAAGCTGTGTTTTCTGCTGACCTCTCAGTAAAGCTATAAACATGTGACATATCCTATATCCTCCCCTTCAGGAAAAATCCCATGACTGTGACAGAACCATTTGTGTTTGTGTGCATGCACATTTTTTCCATCATTGCATATTCCTGCAACTAATGGATACAGAATTAAAATATAAAATACATATATTTATATACATATGTATATATGTATGCATATATATGCAGGCATACGCAACTACAGGAAAAGTTATTTCCACTCATAAGATAGCTTTTCTACCATTGGGGAATGTTATTTAAAAAATTCTCTTCTTCATTAGGGGTGAATGTTATTTTTAAAATTAAAGTGATTCTGATTTAAGGGAAAAGATGGCCCCAAGTTCTAATATTGAGTCTACTTTTACATGTTTAACTTTGGAATGTTCATAAAACTTTATTAGAGGAAATTTTTCATGCAGATTATATAAAATATGAATTATTCCTGAACTATTTGCATTTTCTTTCCTCAAAATGACTAGTTTCATAAACAAATATAATACTATTTGCTCATTCCTGGATATTTTCATACTTGGTCCTACCTGTGGGAAAAGAAGCCTTTACGAGGTAATTGTGATTGGTGGATGTGCTCTTCAGACATCATGAATAATCTTCAAAAAGAACAACTATTTACAATGTAACACAAATTCTCTATCTGTATTCTAAGTTCTTTCTGTATTCTTTTTTTGCTTTTGGCATCTAGATACCGCTCCATTCTCCAGTTGGTCAAACCATGGTATGATGAAGTGAAAGATTATGCTTTCCCATATCCTCAGGATTGCAACCCCAGATGTCCGATGAGATGTTTCGGCCCCATGTGTACACATTATACACAGGTTTCTGCAATTTCTTTGTTAACTTCTGATTCATTCTTTAAAAAATAATGCTTTTGCGATTTTGGTGGATACGCATTTCCTTAGCTCTGATACCAATAATGTTATTTTGGTTTATTTTAACAGATGGTTTGGGCCACTTCCAATCGGATAGGATGTGCAATTCACACTTGCCAAAACATGAATGTTTGGGGGTCTGTATGGCGACGTGCAGTGTACTTGGTATGCAACTACGCCCCAAAGTAAGTACCAAGTGGGATTTTCTTTACTGGGGCTGTTGTTGGTGTTACATATCTCCAGCCTGACAGGTACTTTTGACAGGTAAATAATATAAGGAAGACTAAAAAGGCCTGTAATCTTCAAGTCAACCCTCATCCCCACGTTCCTGAAAAGCAGATTATTTGAAAGTTTTCTTTTCACAAGGACAGGAATTCTAGGCTAAAACTGTAGGAAAAACAATTTGAGACACCAACTCCCCAAATCCTATTTACTATCCTTCTTTAGTTGCAGTAATTGTAAAATAAAAACTGTATGTCACTTTTTAAATTGTTTTTAAGATTAATTTATTTATTTGAGAGTCAGAGGCAGAGAGAGAGAGAGAGGTCTTCCATCCTCTGGTTCACTCCCCAGATGGCAGCAGATGGCAGCGCTGGCCTCCAACAGGATTTTAATAGCTATATAAAAGACACTAGAGGGGTCAGCACTGTGGCACAGTGGGTAAAGCCACCGCCTGCAGTGCCCGCATCTCATATGGACGCTGATTCGAGTCTTAGCTGCTCCACTTCCAATCCAGCTCTCTGCTGTGGCCTAGGAAAGCAATAGAGGATGGCCCAAGTCCTTGGGCCCCTGCACCCATGTGGGAGACCTGAAAGAAGCTCCTGGCTCCTGCCTTCTGACTGGCACAGCTCCGGCCATTGCTGCCTTCTGAGGAGTGAACCAGCTGATGGAAGAACTTTTTCTCTTTCTCTGCCTCTGCCTTTCTGTAACTCTGCCTCTCAAATAAATATTAAAAAAAAAAAGGCACTGGAAAAAAGTATTCTATGGGATTTATCAACATTATCACTGCTAGGATTGCTGGCTCACCTTTTTTCACTAGAAAAGCAAAATAATGGAAGATATTTCCTTCATCTCTTGTTTTTTCAACTAGAAAATATTCAGTAATTGTATCTGATGGTACACACAAAATGTCTTACGGAAATTTGTCAACAATGATAAAACATGGTCATATTTATGAGCATTCTTTATAATATGAGAATCAATAAACATTTGCCAACATGTGACAAAATGCCTTCTTGATAGCAATAACTCTTTAGATGATAAAATTTTCCAATATTTATGCACAAGTCTGTTCTCATTTGGAATGCATACCAAAATGTGCAAAGGATTTATGACACCCTTGCTGTCTTCCAAAGTAAGTCCCAAGCAAAGATTTTCTCCAGTTTTTCCAGCCCGGGGAGGGACTGAGGATGTGTCATGAGTAACTACATTACTCATTGAAGTGCTGTTGTGCCAGGGGCAGTGTTCCTGCTGAGTTTGAGAACCAGTGATTTTTCCGATGTTCCCTCTTCATCATTATTAGGGAGAGTAAGTTGGAAAGTAGACTGCATATCTATTATAAAAAACATTAAATATGTGCATTTGTTTGATATTTTTATTCCAACATCATATTTTCCCATTAAGCCTTTATTCTTTTGACTTGACATAATTAGGCCAAGTAATACCAAATGGCCAGAGATTTTTCTTTAATTCAGTTAAATATTAGAATCTTTTGGCAAAAATTGGAATTTTTCTAATATTATTGAAGAGATATATTATTCCTTTACAGGTCCAAGAGACTAAGATATTGCATTTGCATGCTACATGTCAGTCATAATAAAAAAAAACATTTTTCTGGAACCTACATTATGAAAAAAAGTTCTAAAATCCTTACCTGCAGCTGAATATAATTTTTCCAATGCCAATATAAAGTTATCACAAATATAAATTCTTCAGTGGGAAAAAGATGTCCGTGAGGGAGAGAAAATTAATTTAATTAAATGGAATTAGACAAAAATAAAAATGAATAGTATGTAAATAGACTAATTTACTGTTTAATTTAATAATCTTTTAATAAAATGTGATCTATGTTAAAGTTGTAATATAACACAATTGCACTTAATAAAAAAAATCTAAGCTTCTGTTACCAAAAATATATACCCAAGTTTCAAAAATGTGAGATTAAGATAGCATAGACTAGGTCCATATACTTTTTTTATTTATTTATTTATTTGACAGTAGAGTTATAGACAATGAGAGAGAGAGACAGAGAGAAAGGTCTTCCTTCTGTTGGTTCACCTCCCAAATGGCCACTACGGCCTGCGCGCTGCGCTGATCCGAAGCCAGGAGCCAGGTGCTTCTCCTGGTCTCCCATGGGGTGCAGGGGCTCAAGCACTTGGGCCATCCTCCACTGCCCTCCCTGGCCACAGCAGAGAGCTGGACTGGAAGAGGAACAACTGGGACTAGAACCCAGCGCCCATATGGGATGCTGGCACCGCAGGCGGAGGATTAACCAAGTGAGCCACGGTGCCAGCCCTAGGTCCATATTCTTTTACAGTTTGGGGTAAATATAATTGGGATAGAGTGAAATAAGATCATAAATACAGGACAGGACAGGATGGGGATAAAGGAGAAAACTACCCTCATTGCAAATGGTCCTTTTTGTTTCTATACAGTATATGATAGTATTTGACATCATCAAAATTATGCTCAAAGAAATCTTATCCTTAGGGAAGAATGTAGAGTAACTTAAAATAATGGTGAGGGGCTTAAGATCACAACTTGGGGTGGGTTCTTGACCTCGTGGTTAAGATGCCTGAATCAGACTATCTGAGTTCAACACTTACCTATGGCTCTAGCTCCCTGCTAATGCAGCCCCTGGGAGGCAGAAGTGATGACTTAAGAAATTGAGATTCTACCACTTGTGTGGGAGATCTTGATGAAGTTTCTGGCTCTTGGGCTTTGCAGGCATTTGGGGAGTGAGCTAGCAGATGGAACTATGCTTTCTCTACCCCAAACCCATCTCTCTAACTCTCTAATTAATTAATTATTTTTAATTATGAATTCTTTGTAACAAAAGCCCCATTTTGTAATATCAGAAAATTAGCAAGTTCTTCATCTTATGGATAAATATTGCTTTTTAAAAAAACTTTCATTTAATAAATATAAATTTTGAAAGTACAACTTTCAGATTATAGTGGTTTCCCCTCATAACCACCCTCCTACCTGCAAACCATCCCATCTCCTACTCCATCTCCCATTCCATTCTTCATTAAGATTCATTTTTAATTATCTTTATATACAGATGATTAACTTAGTATACACTAAGTAAAGATTTCAACAATTTGCACCCACACAGACACCCAAAGTATAACTAGTTTTACTGTTATTCTCATAGTACAACACATTGAGGACAGAGGTCCTACATGGGGAGCAAGTGCGCAGTGACTCCTGTTGTTGATTTAACAATTGACACTCATATTTATGACGTCAGTAATCATCCGAGGCTCTTGTCATGAGCAGCCAAGGCTATGGAAGCCTCTTGAGATCACAAACTCAGGCCTTATTTAGACTATATGAATGGTATATAGATAAAACTTTGAATTTTTGACTGGTCTATCAATATATTTTCATATCCCACTTGATAACTCACTGCTTGGTCTTTTCAGGTCTTACAGAAGACATGGACCACCTGTTGTCATGTTTTAGTCCCTTTCCTATTGTTTCATCTTCAAACCTAATTTCACCATTGATGACCAGATTTTCTCCTGATCTTTCACCTTTGTTCATGCTTCTGTCCAGATTAAAATTAGATTCTCTAATTCCTATCACCAGTTGACATTATTTTGTTACTTCTGCTTTATAATTACAAGAGCTAAATAACAGTACATCAAAGTGGCTATTTCTCACTATCCTAAATGGAGAAGTTGCTTTATTATATTGATCATTGCCATTAATACAGATAAAGAAAAATACTGGTTGCATAGACTAACAACTTAAATGTGTCCATTGTTATAAAAAATGAATAGCACTAAATAAAAAATTCGTAGCTACAACTCTATATATGTAAAAAGTTTTTGGAACAAACTTTAATCATTGCTGTAGGCCATTATTCTCTTACTGTGAGAACAGTTTTTCTTATCTCATTTTACAAAGACTAGGAATCTAAGACATTTCAAGCTTTAGAAACATTTTTTCTAAGATTTATTTTATTTATTTGAAAGACAGAGTTAGAGGGAGAGGTAGAGCCGGGGTTGGGGGGGGACTTCCATCTGCTGATTCACTCCCCAAATGACCACAATGGCCAGAGCTGAGCTTATCCAAAGCCGAGAGCTTCCTCCAGGTCTCCCACTCAGGTGCAGGGGCCCAAGGACTTGGGCCACCTTCCACTGCTTTCCCAGGCCATAGCAGAGAGCTGATCAGAAGTGGAGCAGCTAGCACTTGAACTGGTCCTATGTGATGCCTGTGCTGCAGGCCAGGGTTTTAACCTGCTGTGCCACAAGCGCTGGTCCCTGGAAAGAAATCTTGTAAACATTTATAGCATATTTCTTTTGTGTGTACATGATGACTTGTTACTCATTACATCACTTCTAAACATACCAGAAAACACTAAGTATTCCTCTTTATTTAACATCTTTTCACAAGCATTAGCATGAGTTTAATTTTTCTTACCTTTATTTGTTTGAGCAACAGGAAGGGGGAGAAAGAGAGAGACATATAGACAAACAGAGCTCCTGTCTACTGGTCTACTCCCCAGATTACCACTGAGCCATCAATGCTGTGTCTCAGAGTGTGCATTAGCAGTAAGATAGAGTCAGGATTGAAACCCAGGCATTCACAGGACCGGTGCTGTGGTGCAGCAGGTTAAAGTCCCAGCCTGCAGCGCCAGCCTCCCATGTGGGCACTGGTTCGAGTCCCAGCTGCTCCTCTCCTGATCTAGCTCTCTTCTATGGCCTGGGAAAGCAGCAGAAGATGTCCCAAGTCCTTGGGTCACTGCACTTGCATGGGAGACCTGGCTCCTGGCTTCTAATCAGCTTAGCTCTGGGCATTCCCATCATTTGGGGAGTGAACCAGCAGAATGGAAGACCTCTCTCTCTTGCTCTACCTCTCTCTGTAACTGTCTTTCAAGTAAATAATTCTTTAAAAAAAAAAAAAAAAGAAGAAGAAATAACCCAGGCACTCAGATATCAGACAAGGCCAAATCCCACTCCAGAATGAGTTTAAAAGGAGTAAGGTTAATGAAAATGTCCTGACAGTGTTCAGTAGAAGGCCTCTAAACTATAAGCCAGATGTAGTGAATGGAATGAAACTGGTGACGATTAATGATGTCATCATACCCTGGAAGGTCTCATCTGTAAGTTAAAATAGCATTAACTTACTCAGAGAGAAGGTATTCAAAAACAAGATGAATATAAATTACTGCTAAAATAAGAAATTGATATAACTTTCCATGTTTTTCTAAAATTTTCCAAAGGATTATAAATATCTATACCCATGAGTATATGTTTAAGAATCATCCAATCTTTTTAAATGCATGAGTATAACCAATGCTATCTTTTTTACCCATTCTAGGGGCAACTGGATTGGAGAAGCACCATATAAAGTAGGGGTGCCGTGCTCATCTTGTCCTCCAAGTTATGGGGGATCCTGTACTGACAACCTGTGTTTTCCAGGAGTGACATCAAACTACCTATACTGGTTTAAATAAGCTTACTTTCCATCAGGAGATATAATGGTTTGGGGAAATCATAGGCATATATATATATTGAATTTTGCACATATTATACATATTTTATGATAATCTTTTTTCCTTTTACTATTCAATTGTATAAATGAGTGTTTGTCTAGTGTATTTGTTTTTATTCTTTTAGATTCAAAATATCCATTTCTATTTCTGACCTCTAAGCTTGAATTGAAATATTTTAAAAACTTATTCCAAAGTATGTGTGAGGTGGTGGGACATCTCTAACACCTATCTATAATGCAAAATACTCGACAGTGACATGTGGAAAAATAACTTATATAGGCAGCCATAGATTTTTATTCTGGAGATATTTTACCTTATGTTGGTTCACCAAAAGATATCCAAAGATATCCTTGAGTGATGTAAGCTTTCAAATCAAGACTTTTTCTTATTCTTACTTACGTAAATCGGCTAATTATGTGTAGAGTATTTATGACAAACAAGGCACTCTATTGGTTATGTCCTGATAGTGCAAAGACAATGAGACATGGTTCCTGTCCACAAGAAGTTCAAAAAAGTCTTCAGGAAATAATATAGCCTATAAATTTTGCTGTAAAAGTCTTTTTTAAGATTTATTTATTTATTTGAAAGTCAGACTTACAGGGAGAGAGGGAGTGAGAGGGGAGGGGGAATAAGAGATCTTCCATCCACTGGTTCACTCCTCAAATGACTGCAACAGTGGAGGCTGGGCTATGCCAAAACCAGGACCCAGGAGCCTTTTCGAGGTCTCAAATGGGTGCAGGGGCCCAAGCACTTGGGCTATTCTCTGCTGCCTTTCCCAGGCCGTTAGCAGGTAGCCTCATTGGAAGTGCAGTAGGTGGGACTTTTACTGGCACCTATATGGATGCTGGCATTGCAGTCAGCAGCTTTACCCACTACACCACAACATAAGCCTCTGTTAAATTATTTTAACAAATTAATTTTTACATAGTTTTGAGAAATTGAGCATACCAACAGTGTTCACCTGTAGCTGCAATATGTGATCAGCTACCCTGTGAAATATGTAAGACCTCTGATTCCTATGAAAATTTAGCCACATTATTTAGAGAGAGAAAGGCAAAGTTAGAATTAACAACTGCCTGGAGATTTCAGAAGCAGATTAGGTAGTTTTGATTTCGGAAAGCAGAAAGCAAAATCCCCAAAAAACTGATAATGTCTAGGATAATTAAGAAGTAGAGGACAGGTATGAAAAGTCACAGAAACAGAGTATTTGCACAGAAAGCCCGGGTGGAGAAGTTAAGATGGATGTGTATCCTAGGGGCATGGCGCATCTTAAAGACTGCTCAGGAGCAGCAGGAGGTGAAAGGATCCAGAAAGTGACATGAGGGATGCCAAAGACACCTCCCTCTCTTCATGGTTTTTGCCTCTTATGAATTGGTGAGACTCAATCTACTTGTCATGTTGGGCCTTTGAGAATTTCAAGGTCCCTCCAGCATACCACATTCAGCCAGGGTGCTTTTTTTTTTTTTTTTTTTTAATGGAGCCTGGTACAGATGCTTTTCTAAGAACTCATTATCAACTTTATTTTGTATTTTTATGGAGGAATAATTTTCAGTTCTTCGTTAAGTTTTTTTTTTTTTTTTTTTTGGCCAGGCAGAGTTAGACAGTGAGAGAGAGAGACAAGACAGTGAGAGAGAGAGAGAGAGAGAGAGAAAGGTCTTCCTTCTGTTGGTTCACTCCTCTAATGGCCGCTACGGCCAGCGCTGCAGCTGCACCAATCCGAAGCCAGGAGCTGGGTACTTGCTCCTGGTCTACCTTGCGGGTGCAGGGACCCAAGCACTTGGGCCATCCTCCGCTGCCTTCCCAGGTCACAGCAGAGAGCTGGACTGGAAGAGGAGCAACCGGGACTAGAACCCAGCACCCCAACCGGGACTAGAACCCGGGGTGCCAGTGCCGCAGGCGGAGGATTAGCCAAGTGAGCCACAGCGCTGGCCCTTCATTAAGTTTGACTACGAAAGTCAATTCCGTCACTGAAAATTTCATTCATGTGATTTGGAAATGTAACGGTTCCTTATTCATGAAGTCTGTTTGAGAGGATACATCTGGATCCAGACACCTAACACATTAGCTTTCGAATGTGTGTGTATTTCATTCAGGTTACAGAATGCCTCCAGAGGATTATGGAACAAGTAAACATGATTAGTTCCACAGTGCACATGGCAGGAGGGAGCTATGTGTTTAAAATGTCACACACATTTGGAGTTTCTGAGGATGACAGAGTTAATTAAATCTATTCAATGTGCAAACTCTCCCGTCTGGAGATTGGGTCCATTTGAGGACAAACAACCAGCCCAATTTTTTTTTACAGATATGGTGACCCAATGTAATGATACTATAGTACTTTTTGTGGGTGCAATCAGACCCTATTAAAAGTAGGTATTTTTAGAGAATAAAATGAAGAATAGAGTCATTACATAATTTAGGCCCCAATCCAACTTTTATCTGTTGTGTCAGGGCAACTGAAGGGAAAGCTCATTAGTTGAACTTTTCTTGATTCAGGTAGATAGTGTTTCCATCCACGATTTGACCATGTCAGTTCTACAGAAACAGCAGAGAGTACTATTGAACAGGAGGTAGCTGTTCTCAGTGTAGACTCACTGGCTGTACTCTTGTTTAGTTTCTTTCTCAGTTTTAAGGAAGAATGGTGGTATTTGCTATTTATTTCCTAGAGGTTGCCACCAAGGTAAATTTACATACTAATAGAAATATATGAATTCTAAAATTATCATTAATATATGAGCTCTTCTTTGACAGGAACTCTGTCTAATTCTTTGTATTTATCCCAGCATTTCATACAGCAACTATAATGTAATGTTTACATGAGTGCATTTTTACTATTAGCTAAAAACTCTAGAACTGCAACAGTTTAGAGAAATCCCACCTTTCCGTGACTTATTAGGACAAAAATGTCTCAAATAGAAAGCTTTGAGTGATAAACCATTAAACATCAGATTGAGATTAGACTAGGGGTCTACACACTTGTAAATTACACTTTCATAAGAGTACTTTCCAAACCACAACTAGAACTATGAGTTTATTTATAATTTAACAGCTCTGCTTAAAATATAACGGGTATAGTGTTATTCTATCTGTAATTTTTAAACTTAATAATATAAAGTGGCCATGTAAAATATTTTATTTTCCAAGCTAAAGCAAATGAAAATGAGCTACTATCAACACAGTGAGTCATATTTTTTATCAGATTCAACAATGGTGCTAGCATGGCTGTTTCCCAGAGGCAGAAAGAGCCAGGGGATAATCTATTTCATAAGAGCAGCTTCACATAGTAAGGACGGAAGTTTTCATTTGGAAAGATTTCATTTAAAACAATAGTAATTGATACACTTATTTTATAGGATTGATCCTCTTTATGGTATAGATTTTTTTTTGGTAGAAAAGAAAAGTAATCTATCATGATAATATTTCTGTGCCTCCCTGTCTTCCAAAAAACAAAGTAAAATTTTATCTATGATGCAATGGATTTCTTTCTATAACTTTCTGAGTTGTGTTGGCACACTCTTGATCATCCTGGTTTATGACAGATAAATCTGCTTTAAAATGTGGAAGAAACTGGTATTATTATTATTATCATTTTTGCTTCTGTTAAGTAGTCAAAGCCTCGTCACATCACTGGACACTGCTGCAATGCCCCCATGAAATGCTCATGGGACCTCTCATTCGAAGTTCCAGTGTGCAGATTTAGCACAGAGCTGACAAACACTAGAGCAAGTTTGTCCAATTCAATTTACTCAGAATATTTGAATTGAAACAATATAAAGGAAAGGTCATAAAGTTTGTGGAAAATATAATTAAAAAGTTTACTTTTGTACAAAAAGTTTTGAAATTCATGCAGTTTTTTCATAGCAAGCATTTTTCATGAACTTTTGGAGGACTCCTGATATGTGCAGATTCAAAAAATGTTTACACCAAAATAAACTTATTTTAATTTCATTTTCCACAAATTTTGAAGTATCTTTATGTTTACTATCTCCTTCATATGTACTTGTGTTAAATCAATCAACATAACAATCTAACATAAACTTAAGTCAGTTTATATGTTTGATGTTCCTACCATGCTTAGGAAATAAATGCACAAGCTAAACAAATAACTCAAATGTATCCACTAAAGGAGATTAAAGCCTGGGCTTTTGTTCTCGTTTCCCAGTGTGTAACAAAGTGTCTCAGTAGGCTCCCCAGCAGCCTGGAAGCAGATAGTTTTTACCTACTGAAGTGTTGGGGAAAACAGAGTTACATTTCTACCAATATCTAACAAAATGTTTTTATAAGGTGTTTTTCCTTGTATTTTCATTGTATGTGTGGGTGGAACCATTTAAACACATGCAAGTGACTTACAATTATGCCATACTTTCGTTTTGATTTATGAAAGGTCAATAGAAACCTAGGAAGTTTAACAATTCAATGATTAATGGTGCTGAAAACACATTACAATCACCATATTCTTGCTATAATTTTGAAGTTTGTTTGCAATTAAATTTTGTATTAATTTAATATCTATTCTGGTGCTAAATATATGGTGCTAAGTGAATTGTGAGTGCTAATGGCTTTAGTAATAATTTTAGCCATTGTTTAAAGTGGTATCTGTTCAATTCCTGATTCAGACACATTAACACAATTCTAGGTTAAATTATTCACCAAAAATAGTACAGTTGACTCTAATTTCTAATTTAACAGCCATATATTACTAGGCATTATAACATACAAATATATTTGTTTAGAAATTACCAATTATCTTTTAAAACATTTTTTACTTTGGCAGCGTCCAAATTTAAATGGCACCTACACTAACAATGCTGTGGACACTGTCGCCCTCTGGTGGTTCTGAAAACAACTTCTCTTGATGGCCACCTGGCCTGAGGTAAAAGTAATTTCTGATAGAATTCATGGATGCTTCCTAAATTGATGATATGTAAAAATGCTTTCTCTATTGATTCACTGGCCTAAGAGGTATAAGATTTTTAATTTGTACTGTCACCCACTTTCTAAATATGTTTCTCACAATTTTCCAGTTCTGAGGTGCTTCCTAAAGTTTGTTTTGAATCCAGTATTGCTGAAATATATTTTCCATTTCGTTTACATCACAAGTACAATTATAATAGTCAAAATTAATTTATCTCATTTTCAGGAATTATAATATATTTTTATTTAGCATAATACACAAGATAAAATGAGATACACTATAATAACAATAAATCCTATACATTAAAGAGTTGTTCCTCCACATTTAATTGTTCGCTAAGATTCAAAAATATTATTTGGGTATACTATTCACTACTGAGCTAATATTCAATGATACTATTTCATTTAAAGTTCTTCCAGCTAACAGGTGAAAATTATGTCACCAGTAAATAATGAAGGTTACTCATATTCTCAGGTGAACATTCATTTGAATTACAAAATTGTCTGGAATGAATCATAATCTCTTTTCACAAATTTCTTAAACTGTACTAGAATAGCCAAATAAATGTTCTTGAAGCTTTTTTGCCAAATCAATATTTTCAAACTTATCTGAAAGCAATAGAACCCTTTTGGTGCTCTAAGTCCTATGCAAAAATACAACATATAATAAACATCAAATGAGCCTCTCCGCCCCTACACCTACCCCAGTGCTTTCTTGTATGAGCCCTATGATTCTATTAACCAAAAAAAAGTTGATCTAAATCATTCATTTTTATCATTTTCTTGAAAAACAATCAGCTAATAAAAGAATACATAAACCAAAGATAATCTGAGGGCCTAGGTTACATTTGGTGGTTCTTTTGACTACTCAGTTAAATTTGCATGTGTTAGCAAACTCTTAGTTTTGTGAAGAATTAAATGCTGGGTTAAATTGGTGCTTGGTTACATTTTACAACATCTTGTGTTTTATTATTTGACAAACAGAATTTCGGTACCATTATATTTTGAGGATTAGAGATTATTGTGGTGCACATTAGAACACAATATGCTTTAAATTACTTCAATGTTTGAAATGTTTATATAATCTTAAAATATACTGTATGATGTTAGATACTTTAAAGAAACAGGTTAATCTGTATAAGTTTTATTCACTACCTAATGCTGTGGCAGTGAAAGGTGCATTTGATATTGTAAAATAATATCCTGAATATGTATGTATGTTACACCTGTGTAAAACTCTGTCCTTATGAACCACATCAAATATAGCCTTTTTAGCTCCACTGTATTTTTTTGTTCAATAAAATATTATAATTAATTGTTCTGTTTTTGAAGTATATCTAATCATTTTAATAGAATTTTCAAATAGTTTCAGAACTTGATGACATAATAATTTTGAACTACTTTTATAAGCAGCAATGATTCTATCTTTAACATATCATTGAAATATACCCAACTTTCTATTTTTCTTTTTAATTTCTTCCCCTTCCCTTTTCCCACTAAATCAAAAAATATTTTGAGATATCAGTATAAAAGACATTTCTATGGGTGGGTGGGTTGTCTAGAGATTAATATGCTACTTGGAAAGCCTGCCTCCCATACTGGGGTGCCTGGGCTTATGTCCCAGATCTGCTCCCACTTCCAGCTTCCAGCTAATACACTCCCTGTGAGGCAGCAAGTGATGGCTCAAGTAAAGTGGGTTGCTGCCACTCATCTGAAAGACCTGGATCAAGATAGGGAGATAGGGTGTTGCAGGCATTTGAGGAGTGAACTAGTGGACAGGAAAACTAATTCTCTCTCTCTCTACTTTCTGCTTCTTAAATAAATAACATAATAATTTCAATAAAAATTAATGACATTTTTATGGAACAAGAGACAAAGAGCAATATATCAAGGATCTCTGGCTGATGACAATCATAGCAACTAAACACAAATATTTTATGAGTCCCCATACAAAGGGCCTGAGGAGACACTAGGTGTTTCTCGGGGACAGGCACCTTCCTGGGTCACTAGTTGGACCAAAGCTAGTGATTCTCAGAGGGACTCTGCCTTGTAGATTTAACTCCATCCTCTCTGGTGAGATAGTAGATCTCACAGGCCAGTCCCACGTAGGACTAACTAGAATGTAGAACTTTGAAATTTCTCATTAGCATACTGTAAGGAAGGAGAACCTAACTTTTCCAGGGTCTTCCACTCCAGCCCTGTAGCTGTCTCAGTTCTTTCTCTTTTGCTAGTCATCTCTCTCATTCGCCATACCTCCTCCCATTTCAAGGCTCTATTTTCCTGCCCACATATCTAGGCACTTTGACTCACCTCCAAAGGATATGGGGTTCCGTGAGGGGGATGAAAATTCTAGCCCCTCTGACTATGCCTGACTGTTGTGAATAAAAATTTCATCCTCCTAGGAGTACAAGTCCCTGAAAGTGAAGAAATGGGGGAGGGAGGGTGATGATTCTAGTCTACCTTTCCTGCCAGTGAGAGCTATGTTATGCCCTCAAGAGAAGCAGGCACAGCTTGTTGAGGCAAACATCAGCTTTCACAAATAAGAAGATTATGTTCTTGTGAGTAAAGTCTATTCCTTCTTCTATGGATTTCTGATTGAATGCCTTTTGCAACAGGAACCTGGGAATTGCAAGGCCAGAGAGCCCCAGCCCCTTCTTGAGCTACTTAAGAAATGACTAGCCCTGTCTTAGCAAACTGGAGAGATGGTACTGATCCTAGATGAATCTCTGACTTTAACTCTTCCCCTTGTTGCAAGCTAATCTAGGTTCTGGCAGTATCTTACATTGGTAGCCTATTAGTTGAAAGGAACATTCCAGCTTTTGAATGGATACTTGAGTTGTACTAAACTCAAGTGCCAACAGGAATTTGTTCTCAGTTCTAAATAATATATTGAACATTGTGGTTCATTACTATTTCAAAAATGAGTTTTTGATAAAATGAATGAAAATGCTAAAACCTTGCTGCTGAATTCTAAAATTAAACGATATTTAGAAGTTCTCTATACTCTAGAATTTGACAACGTCTTGAAAAACTACTGTATTTGCCTTTTGACCAAGTAATTTATCTTTTACAACTTTATTCCAGAAGTACACTGGAAAATATGAATTTACACACATAAATGTTAACCATGACAGCATTATTTCTAACACCTAAAGGACAGAAACATCCCCGATTTCCATCAGAAAAGGTTGGCTAAATGGTTTGTCCACATGAGGGAGTGCTATTGTTCAGACTGCTGTAACAAAGGGCCATTGATTGGTTGATTGCTCAGAGATCTGGACACTGGGAAGCCTGAAAGCAAAGTGACAGCATGGCTGGGTTCTTGTAAGAAACCTCTTCCAGGTTGCAGACTATCAACTTGTTGTATCCTCACAGGGGCAGCTCTCTGAAGCCTCTTGTGAAAGGCACTGATCCCATTTGTGAAGACTTTACCCTCTTGTCCTAACTAGCTTCCATAGCCTCACCTCCTAATGCTACAGCACTGGCAGTTAAGTTTTCAACATAAGAATTTTGTTGGGAATAGGATGGTCAGACAAAAATTTCAAAAGATTTTAAAACACAGTATTTTTAGTGGGCTTCATTAATGGAATCTATTGGAAAGACAGATTTTTTTTTGCTTTTTATTAAGTGAATTTCTTTTTTTTTAAACTTTTATTTAATGAATATAAATTTCCAAAGTACGGCTTATGGATTACAATGGCTTCCCCCCCATACCGTCCCTCCCACCCGCAACCCTCCCCTTTCCCACTCCCTCTCCCCTTCCATTCACATCAAGATTCATTTTCGATTCTCTTTATATACAGAAGATCAGTTTAGCATACATTAAGTAAAGATTTCAACAGTTTGCTCCCACACAGAAACATAAAGTGAAAAATAATAGATGATTTTTTAAATGATGATGAAATCAGATCAGACCTATTGTCATGTTTAATCCCAGTGAGAGTCAAGTTGGGAATTGATAATTTCTTCTTCCTTTTTTTTTTTTTTTTACAGAAGATCAGTTTAGTATACATTAAGTAAAGATTTCAACGGTTTGCACCCCCATAGAAACACAAAGTGAAATATACTGTTTGAGTACTCGTTATAGCATTAAGTCTCAATGTATAGCACATTAAGGACAGAGATCCTACATGAGGAGTAAGTGCACAGTGACTCCTGTTGTTGACTTTACAAATTGACACTTCTGTTTATGGCATCAGTAATCTCCCTATGCTCCAGTCATGAGTTTCCAAGGCTATGGAAGCCGCTTGAGTTCTCCGACTCTTATCTTGTTTAGACAAGGTCATAGTCAAAGTGGAGGTTCTCTCCTCCCTTCAGAGAAAGGTACCTCCTCTTTGAAGACCTGTTCGGAAAGACAGATTTACAAGTAAATATTTCACTTGATTTAGTAGTCTGTTAGTATGATCAATGGGTATGTGAGAAATACAAAAAGAAAAAGAATTCTGCATATAAGCAATTAAGGCAACTCTTTATAGGAGCCAAAATTTTTCAGTGAGAAAACTAGGTGTTTGTGAGAAAAAGAGGTATAATTTCCAAAAATGTTAAGTAACACCAAAATATTAATTTGAAACATTAATATTATCTCAAAATGTTTTGTTTTTGAAAAAAAAAAAAAACTTTGTAAGTGACTGGACAATGAAAAGTCCTATAATCCCAGAAACAACCTAATCAGGATAAGCACATTTGGTGCATAAGTTATTGTCTCCAGTAACATTCACCATGCCAATTCATGCTTAGTCTCATCTCAGCTGCTGTCAACCTAATCCAAGACATTATCTTCTCTCACACAGATTAATGGTATCCAAAGTCAGATCTGAGTTTCCAAAAATGGGTGCCAGAAGAACCACTGAAAATAGTGCTTAAAAACAAGAACTTATATTTAATTTTATCAGTTATATTTAACCACAATTAATTTAAATTTAATTTTAAAAAGAAAGAAAATAGAATTCCTTACAGGAAAATGGGTTGATGGGGCTTCCCTCCCTTGGTCCCTATGTCTCAGGACCACAGGTCCCAAAAGGGTGGCATACATGGAGGAATGGTGGGGGGTCAAAGGCAGTGCCTCACTTGGGCTCTTCATGTGGCTCTTCTTTTTAAGGCTTTTCCACTTGGTGCATTTTGATGAACCAGGTAAGAGAATCAATTAATTTCAAAATCCCACTTCCACTTCACATTCACAAATAGTCACAGGATGTTCCCACAAAACTAAGATTGAATATAATTTAATAATAAACACACAGCTAATACCAAGGAAATTTAACAGTTTATAATTACCTTGTTTATTATAACAAGTTTTATGTCAGCCACATTATGAGGTAAAAATGATGATCTAATTAGATATGACAGGCTGGCCAAAGAATTCAAATCCTTCAAGTCTACTTGGAATGACAAATGTGCTATTAATGATTCACTAATAATAAACATTTGCCTTGACAGACAAGCTAGTGACAGTTAAGCTATCATGATTAATATTTTAAACCAAAATAAATGAAAATGACATTTGAAATTAAGCAAAACTTTCCAAATTTAATGACTATATTTAACCACACTGCTCCAAATGCTGATAAATTTTAAAATTAACATTATAATAATAGAAATACCAAAATAACATTTTGGTGAATGATATATTTTATAACATTGATAGCATAAAATATGATAATATAAAAATATTTTTATCCTAAATATTATGTTACTTATATTTTATAATGTATGCTACAGATTAGCGCATGGGATTCAAGTGATCTGATGACTAATAATTTCAGAATGTGCTATAATTCATACCATATATGTAGTGAGAGTCAAGATAAAAACTTTTTTTCCAAGATCAAAGGAAAGATATCACTTTTGAAAAAGATTTATTTTTATTCATTTGAAAGGCACAGGGAGACAGAGAAAGAGAGCTAGATCCTCAACCTGCTGGTTCACTTTCCAAATGTCTGCAATAGCCAGGACTGTTCCAGGCTAAAACTAGGAGCACAGATCTCCCTCTAAGTCTCCAATGTGGGTGGCAGGGGCTCAAGCACTTAGGCCATCTTTCACTGTTGCCTTGGAGCATCAGCAGGGAGCTGGATTAGAAATGGAGCAGCCAGGGTTCGAACTCACACACTAATATGGGATGTTGGTGTGGTAAGCAGCAGTTTAACAAATGGCACCACAACACAGTTCCTGTGGATCCCAAGTCATGGTTCACAACCAAAAATTTGGAAGAGGTCTGAAACTGGAGCAGCTACCTATTATGTCTTTCTGCTTCTACTTTTGTTCTTGGAATGTCCAAGCTGTGCAGTAACTAGATTGCTCTTATTTTTAGAAGAACTG